CATTTTGGGGGCCAAGGCAAAATGCCCCCCCCCCCCCCCCCCCCCCCCCCCAATAACTGGGCTCCCCAGAAGCCTCTGTGTAATTCATGCCCTCTCCAGTAGTGTTAGTTATATGGTGTTTATAAAAGCCCCTCAGACATTACTGACATGCTCTAATATTATCAGATGAAAAACTAAATTATCAGACATGCTGTCTCATCTGCTTATTTTATAAACTTGCAAAAAGTAACAAAACCATTTGAAAGCCACTATTTGTGGATTCTCTGAAAGTTTCCATGGAGTTTGTGACAACTTATTTTTTCATTGATCCTATCGTCTAATCTCACAGTTGAAACAAGCATCCTTAATAATCTGTGCACAGGAAGCTTACCGATGCTGTAGTAAAACAAAAGGTATAATAATTTATTATTAATAAAACCTTGTTGCAGCACTAAAGCAGAAAAATTAGATTTTGCATTAAATATGCAAAATATTTACATATGAATTGTTTTAGAGCCCTTTAATTGGCAGAATCTGATATTAATTTAGTTCTTACAAAAAATGGGTCCCAACATGGTTTGTGTGGCGTTGCCATAGTGTGACGTCATAGGCACAGATCCCCTGTCCTCTTGTTTGGAAATGGAAATATGGTCACCCTACATTAAACAAACTGTCCACCCGGGCTTTTGCACTGCACAGAGACGCTTCGCTGCCTACGACTGAACGTCAGTTGAGAGTCAGTCTCATGCAGACTGACCAATGAAGAGAGGGCCTCAAGTTAAGACCCTCTCCTCATTGGTCAGTCCACACGAGGTGGGTCAAAGGTTACGGGTTACGTGTTGTCAGGCATTCAAGTATTGAGTATATTTACTGCATATTACAGTAAAATATTCTGTATGTGACCACATTATGGTGATCCTTGGGTCGTGATGATGGAGCCCTTGAATATTGTTGCCCAGGGTACAACAAAGTGTTAATCTGGCCCTGGTTCCGCCGTCACATTCCCGCAGAAACTGGTTGATCACACCGGGGCCAGACTACTAGCATGTGGTTTTACAACCACAATGTCCTCAGAAGCAAAAACGCTTTTAAAAGGGAGGGAGGAGTCCTAACTGTTGCTGCAGGCGTGTTGTGTGAGAGTGCAGTTATATACTGGTTAATATATTTTTGGGTTCAGTTGCTTTCATGTGGCCTAATGTGAGTCTATTTGGGATCATTGGAATGATCAGCAGCATTTCTTGATGTGACTTTATGGCAGTTGCCCAGGGCATCATCGCAAGGAGGATGGCATTCATTTACTTTTGTTTTATTTGGTATTTTTTCAGTCATTTTTGGAAATAGTGATCAATTTTGATAAATTCACAGCCTATGTTTAATTACATTTAAAATAAATGTCAACAGATGAGATCAAACAAAACAGATGAGAATTGCCCTTAAGCTGTTTAACTTGGACCAAGCATTTTAGGTCACAGATAGATGTAGCTTAGGGTCTCTGTCTATACACCTTATAAGACAATTTAGGTGATGGCATGTTGTTTTTCTGCTATTGAACTGTTTTCTAATAATGTTGTGTTAAATAAAGTGAAGGAAGGAGAGAAATAACGTTTCCCTAGCAGTTTTTAAAAATTTCCCCATGTAATCCGATTAATCGATTAATCGTGTCGAGACCCCATCCGATTAATCGATTATCCAAATAATCGTTTGTTGCAGCCCTATTTGCAAGCTTAAACCCCCAAAGTCAACATTAGGTGATAAAAATCTGGTGCTGGAAAGGCAGCAGGTCACATTGTGGAAGAATGAGCAGAAGTTGACTGACTGGTTATTGTAGAAAGGCCGTGATCCAAGGAGATGACAATTCCCTCCTCCAGTGGAAATCCACCAACACCCACTCCCTCGCTGTGTGCACTATAAACACCTTTGAAGCGGGACTACAGCACCATAGAACAGTTTGTAGGACTGCTGTTTGTTGATGAGAAATTAGGGCTGCTCAATTAATCGAATTTTAATCACAATTACGATCTGGGTTTTGAACGATTATACAAACAAAACAAGCCGATTATTTGCTCCTCCCACTTGCGCTGCCCTGAGTTGCAAATGAAGCGCTCCTCCCACAGTGTTGCCAACTTAGCGACATTGACGCTATTTCTAACAGCTTTTCAGACCCCCTTCTTGACTTTTTAAATCTTAAAAGTACCTAGCGAACATCTCAGAAACATCTCTGGTAACCCTTAGCTGCTTTCTGCGTAACTGTCGTCGACATTTCCTGCAGGAAGCTAAACACTCCGCCGGTGCTCCGGACTGTTCTTCAGGACATTAGGAAAGGGAATGGTGTAGTGATGTGTCAGTCGCTAAAGAAATGGCTCTTGGAGCCGGCTCCCTGTTGGAGTAACCAGAGTGAGTGACACACACACTGCACCTGCGGACTCCTGAGCCACTAAAAACGGCTAATGTGTGCATGTGGCGCGCTAAACACACGTGCAGCTTGCCCCGATTGCTGTGAGACCGGGTTGGGGGGTGGGGGGTGCAGCTGTGGTTGGGACAATTATTACATTAACTGATGGACTTGTAAATAAATAGTTCATAAATAAGGTAGAAATAAGTTCCTCACACTGATAACTAATCTCTCTGAGGACACTGTGCTAGTGCACTCTCCTACAGCACCTTGACACGACTAAATAAATGTTACGCAACATTTTGTGAACATCAATTTATTTGCATTAATTTGTTATAAATGCCACTGTATAATTCTTGCTGTCAGTATTTGCAAGATATTGGTATTTGGGTCTGTACTGGTTAGACTTACATGAGTTAAACCAAGGTCTATAGCCCTTGGGTCAGAAACTATGAGCTGTAAGTATATTGGTCTTTTTATACTGGGAATCAGGAGTTATTTTAGTGATCATCTTGTTCTTATTTAATTTTGTCCTGATTGTGCCCTGAGCAATTTTATGACTGCATAAAAACAAATAAAATCAACATAAATTGAAAAATCGTCCTAAATAATCGAGATCTCAATTTCAGTCACAATGATCGTGATTATTATTTTTGCCATAATCGAGCAGCCCTATAAGACATATGCTTGCTGATCAGTTTCAAACTAAATCTACTTTTTCCAGAAGCTATAAATGTATTTGTTTGAGACCGGTCAAACCCAAAAATGTAAGTCTGGAATATACTTGACAAGAAGCCATCGACTGAGTAGAGTTTTCAACATCACCACCATCGTTGTGCTGAGTTGTGTGTGTGTGTGTGTGTGTTTGTTTGTGTTTGTGTGTGCGTGTGTGTGTGTGTGTGTGTGTGTGTGTGGCATACAGATCACTTCAGACTTTTCACAGATCGCCTTGTGCTACCTTTGTGTCAGGTAGAGATTGAGTGCCCTCCACCCATGTGGACCCGCTAGAACCCACACTGAGTTTAGCCGAGTCAAGTTTAACCAAACTGAGCTGTGTTCAGCAAGGAAAGGGGCCATTAGTAGCCTGGCAAGCCAGACTAAATAAATGTATTATTTAAACTTTGCAAAGCAATAATTTGGTCTAGTTCACTAGGCTAGGCCATTAGTTTTTTTTCTCTGCCCATACACCAATGATTTTAATCTACAGTGCTTTACCTGCTGAACAGGTAACTACTAAAACATGCTGGGTCGAGGCTCACAAGGACCATGCTTGGGCTCCCCTGATCTAAATAATACATTTAAAAAGTTTCTGAGGGGTTCAACTCTTACTATATTTTCTGTATCAGGTCTCCGCTGCAAAAATAAAATAGCACCCGTTTGTGGCCGTATTGATTTTTATTACTATGATTTTTACTGTGAAGTATTTTGTGTTAGCCCTACTGCAAACTAAGACGAAAGCTTAATTTGCCAACACGTAGGGGGCTCTTGTATGAATGCACTTAAATACGTTCAGAAAAACGACACGTTTATGACAGCGGTATATTTACTGGCTCATTGCTGACCCTTTTGTCACACTTGGCTCGACAACTTTTGTAGCTTTTGATTGGTGGGGTGGTTGTTAAAACAACACATTAGAAAATTAAAAGGTTTATAGTGTAATAAATATTCCTTTCTTTAGAACATGTTGGAGAATTAAACATTAGGTAGTTGAAGTTGTCTGGAGCAAATCAACAAGTTAATGTTTAAGATGAGTACTGAAGAGCTGTAATGATATTAATGCAGTTGCAAATTGCAAAAAAATTACTTGTCTCATTGAATGCTTGTTTTGTGGTTTGTTTCTGGGATCTTTACATAACTTATAGCAAATTAAATACTAGGGTTCAAAATGTTGTATTCAAATAATTTTTATATGAATTTTTGGAATCAATTGAATATTTCCCCCCGAAAAATCTATCAAAAATTATTGAGAGAAAACAAACATACATTTCAGTCCTCCAAACCTATAATAATGTTACTCTGAAAAGAAGGATTACCAAGGTTTTTTCCTTTATGACTACTATTGGTTACAGTCTGTATCTGTAACCGCACTACCTTTGTGATATTCTAGGAAAATAAGCCTGATTTTCTTTTCCCCAGACCTACACCAGTTCCGGAATACTTTTAAATCCCCTGTTAGTGCAGGATTACTGTTGTGCTCTCGAGTTGAAAAGGCACTGCTCCGTGTGTGTGTGTGTGTGTGTGTGTGTGTGTGTGGTGGTGGTGGTGGTGGTGGGGGCGCTACTTCTTATTTATCAGTAGTGACACTATCAGCGGTGCCTTGTGAAAAGAGAACCAGTCATTCAGAACAGTGAGGCCACCATGGCTATCAAAGCAGGATTTAGGCTACATTTCTCACGGTTGCCATGACGACTGTGGGAAGTGATTATGAAGAGAGGGTTTCGGAGCAGAGCTGTCACACCAGTGGGTATTACCATAGTGGTTTGCACAGTGATCATCAGAGAATTACTGGCTCATGATCAAACGTTTGTTTTACAATGAAATATTGTGTTCTGCGATGGCAGAGATATTGTGATGTTATTCTGTGCCTAGATGATTGGATTAAAATGTCTCTCTTCTTGTTTCCTTTTAGGGCAAAATGTGGTTAAATGGGACAGGAACGAGTAGACCATGAAGATTCTCTAACCCTTGTCTCTGACTCCCAACCGTCTGAGAGGGTGTCGGACCTCACTGAGGCATTCCTGGGCCGTTGGCACTAAAATGTCCCTAAGTGGTGGCACTGCAGGCGGGAAAGGTGTGGACTCGAATGCGGTGGACACTTACGACAGCGGGGATGAGTGGGATATCGGTGTTGGAAATCTGATTATTGACCTTGACGCCGATTTAGAGAAGGACAAACTTGAAATGTCTGGCACCAAGGACGGCATGGCGGCACCACCTAGTGCAGTGGCAGCATTGCCCGACAACATAAGGTTTGTTAGTCCAGTGTCTGGCTCTCAAGGAAAAGAGAGCAAATCCAAATACAAGCGCAGCAAGACTTCTAAAGACAATAGTAGCAAAGCATCAGCTGGAGATGGAGGTAAAAAAGAACCCACAGGGCGGACTCAAGGGGAGCCAACTGGTGCAGCAGCAAGTGCAGTAGCTGCCAGCAACAATTCCACCTCTGGGAAGAACATGGAAAAAGGGGGCAAAGCCTCCAGAGGGGTACTCAGTGGTAAAAAAGATAAGGAAGGAGCAAGTGGGAAAAGTAAGAAAGACAAAACAGATGGTGCTCCAGTTGTGGCAATTGGCGTCTCTGAGAAGGATGTGTCTAAAGCCCAAGTTTCTTTGGGGAATAGTCGTAATGCGACCTTTGAGAACACACAATCGACAGACTTGGCAGATGCTAATCAAATGGGGAATATTGCACTTGAATCTGTTGGAATAGTACCAACGTTGACCACAAAAACTGAACAAGATGATGTGGAAATTGGAAATACGGAATGCAAAACATTAAAGAAGATCAAAAACGAGAAGGTACGTGTTCTTTGTTTTATAGCATTTTGATGTTTGTTTGGCATCTGTTGTTTACTGAGTAGCTTTGGGATTGTGTTTGTTTTGGCTAAAAAATATGTTTGATTTTACTAGAGAAAACTAACGTGTATTTTAAATCTAAAAAACAATCCAGCATTTTCAACAAAAGACAGCAATGTTTTGTTACGATTACACATGGTGCCTGGTGTGTTTTACTCTGAACATGGTTTTATCCACATTTTAAAAATGCCCAAATAGCAGAAGCACCTGTATTACTGGTTTCTTTAAAAAATAAGTCTGGTATAAAGATCTTTTGAAACAGAATAGGCTTTTATCCATTTAAATTTACTGCAATCTGACCCTGTGCTTGTCTCCGTGATATGCTAGCTGTGACAGCCTGTTGCTTTCAGCAGTGTAGGAGATGCACTGCATTCCCTAAAGCAATCTGACATGTGATGCATAAAGAAGACCTGCTGCTGTTTTCTCTTTTATTACCATACGATGAATAAGGGCACCTTTGACATAAGTGATGCCGAGACCGGCTACAGGAAGTAGTTCACATAGTGGTGATGTTCTTTTCTCTTATTGACAGCACAGTGCTGAGAATGCTCAGCCGACTTAATCTTTAAAACATTTCTATCCCATGTTCAAATCCCATCTCTTGTAATTATCTTGAAAGTATTTGCCAGTATAGAATTAACTGTAGACTAGAAGATGATGGATATTATAAGCCCTATGTTGTACACAGCATTTTTCCTGTAATGTGAGGCAAGTGTCAAATCGTGTTCCACTTTTTTTTATTTCAATAATTTCAATGCTGACATTGTCACACAAGAATAATATAAAGATCTGTGTAGCTATTCACCCACACTTATCTTGCTCACTCAGAGTTGATCTATCACTGTGTCTTTTGTATGCCCCATAGCAGCCTTTTCATGCTCTCGCAGTATAAAAGACAGCAGAGTAGGGAGGTGCTGAGGACTGTTTTTGTCTGTCATCGTGTTCCATTCTTAATCCCACAAGCCCCAGCAATGAATGCCTGGTGGAGCAGTGTGTGGGGGATGGAGCTGCTGCTCAGCACGCCTTCCTCGTTTTTCCTGCTGCTCTGAAAGTGGTATGGGGGATGGGTCGAGGACGCCTGTTTGCTTAAATCCAGGACACCCAGTCACAAACACGAGCTGTAGAGCCTCCTTGGGCAGACTACTATGAAAGGAATTTTAGGAAATTCTTTGTAATCTTTATGTATTTAGAATGAAAAGGCTTTTGAGCAGGAACCACAAGAACAAATAAAGGAGAGAGGTCAGAATCGCTTTCAACCTGCAAGCTGGTGAAATGTATCCTTGAAAGCATAATGGTGGGGTGTATGGGTGGGTTCTATTTTAATGTAGGACTTACTTATTGTGGTGTAAAGAACAGTTTTTAGAATGGTAACTTCAGTTAACTGAGGTGTAAAAAAGAAATGAAGAGCATTCAGCTCTTAAAAGTTGGCTTGTTATGCTTTCATGTCTTTTTCAGCAGCATTCAACTGAAATGTAGTCCTCAAAGGAGGCCAAGTACAACAATAAAAACAATTTGAAACAGCTGTAAAACTATTAAGACATTTGTTTAATTGATTAAACACATTAAATGACCACAAACTTTGGATTTTGTAAATATTCAATAGCATAATAACCAAAGCTTTCCTTCAAAACAATTATTCTGATTTGGAATAAAAGAGCGTACAAGCAATGGTGTTCTATTTGATTCCCTTTTTTTAAACCTTTGAGCTTCACAGTAATGTGGGTGGCTGGTACTTCCACACCCTATGCTTGTTTTCTGTTGGTTTATTTAATTTGAATGCCAACTTTTAGGGGGACGTTGTTATTTATTTATTCTATAGTTAACAGATTCCAGACACTTGAGGCATCATCATGTTTTGTAACTTGTACAATTTTACATCTATCCATTTTCTGTGGACAGAGCTGGAGAGACAGAGAATACGTCTTCCTATTTTTCATATTAACGTGACATTTTCAGAGAGGTTCTTGTTTTGAGTTCATTTGGAAAAATCATTGTTAGATTTGTAGATTTTATGAAGAAAGAAAAAATATATATACATGAAAATGGTATATTTATAATATCTGCTTTGTCTGTTATTTTAGTTATTTGTCTGAGTGAGCTTTGCATGTTGGCTAATGGTAACAAGGTCAAAGCAAGATCAAGGCTTTAAAGCCAGTAAATGAAAACAACCATCCATCCGTCTATTTTTTTTTTCCTATATGCACTTGATTCTGTTCAGGGTCATGAAGAACTGTTGTCTACCGTTACAGCCATTGGACAATAAGCATGGTACGACCCAGGCAGGCCATCAGTTAATGCCTAAAATATTACGGCCTATTTTACAACCTCAAGCCAATTGCTTCTTAGCATTTTATCTCTGACAGACTCTTACATGAATTATTCTTATAATTGCTTCATATTGTTGGGTATGTTTTGTTACAATTTAAAAATTTGGCTAAAATGTGCATGAAAAAGCTTTGCACATTTTTTCTTAAGCCTATTGTCATTAGTCAGTGAGGATGTTGCTGCAAGCAGAATTCCTGTGTGTAACTTTGTTCATTGCAAAAGATTACTACACTTTTATTATATGTTAGCCATAATGGTGAGCATTTGGTGTATTCATAATTTTGATGCTGCTGAAACTGAAATGATTACATAATAGGCTGAGAAATGGTGTTGGAAAAAATGACCCAACATCTCTTATAAAGTCTAACATTAAATACGTCAAACATTGTGTACCTCTTGAGCTTTTGTTGCAATATTGTGCAAAATTACCGCAATGTAAGACATTTTATCCTATATTTATTGTGAAAGTAATGATTAGTAGAGTTAATAGAGCCTTGGGGTGTTGGAAAACAATTTCAGCCTCTCTACAAATGATCTGTTAATTTAATGGAACTCGAGTTGTGCAATCCAAACATCAATCAGTACGCGTTTCACCAGCAGGCTTGTTCTCTGTGGTAGTGATGTAGAAGCCATTGTATGTGTCCTAAGTTAAGACTCCCTAAAGCGTTGGCTCTCACATGCTGAATAAATCATCTGTACTTCCTTCATACAAGTGCTAACCACCTTGCAAGCATGTCTCACTCTCCCACCTCTCATTATACAAATCTAGAGGAGTGAGGCATTGTCAGTTTTCTCGAAGTGCCAGTGGCCTTGATAAATGGCGCAGCTCTCATGGAAAATTACATTGGCGGTGTTACTTTCAGAACAGGAGAGAACGCAAAGGCAGCACTTGAATGAAAGAGCAGTGCCGGCGCCCTGCTTTGCTGCTGATGTCCAGCTCTGAGGGTAAAAGGATCTCATGAGAGCTAGCTTGAGCTTTTTTTTCTCTGCCTCTGCCTGGCGGACTGTTGCCATTGTACTACAGTTCATTCCTTTTAGGTGGTGCCAAGGATTTTAAAGGCAATGGAACAGAAAAGAGACTGACTTATTTTAAGAAGGAGTGCAAACTACAACAACTTCAATCCACAGCACCTGTTTGTGTAAAGCGATCCCTACAATGAAAACCATATGGTGTTTTCACAGAAATGTTGAACTCTTTCTAATTACTGTTAAATTAAACATTTTTCCTGTAGCTTTTTAACTATCAAATACTGTATCCTTAAAATTTAGAATTAGCTTGAGTTGACATCATTGCTAAAGTGAAAAGAAATGGCTTTTACATGCAGTGGACTCAGTGGTCTTCAAAAAGCAGCTGAAAACTCACCTGTTCAAGCTGGCTTTTGCGTGACCATTGTCACCACCCTCTCCTTATTCTGTTCTTATTCCACCTTTCCCTGATTTCCCTCTTTCCTCTTCATTTTCTCACTCCATTTCCTCACATAGTTTTTCCACAATTTTAATTTTGTCTCATTTTAAATCTATTTTTAATCATTTTTGAAGTAATTTTCATACTTTAATTTTTTGTTTTGTTTTTGTGAAGCGCCTTGTGATTTCTTGAGGAGCTATATAAAAGATCCTTTTCATTCTTTCTTTCTTTTATAAAATGCTGCATGTGAGATAAAACTTTTAGGATTAGGGTTTTATTGTTACTGCTCTGGGATGTTACCTTACAACATTTTTATTTTCATTTGCTGACCTTGTAATTGTGATAGTAATGTGTTGGGTCATTGGTGTAATATTAAATAAGGTGTGTATTTTTTCTGTAGTTTAAAGTAAAGACAGAAGCTGATGTTTAAATTTTCTTTTTTCCAACCAAATAGATTCAAATAAAAAAGGACCAGGTTTGTTTGAGGAACCAAGAAATAAACTAATTACTTTACCTTTGATTTAAAATGTTATGGCTAGTACGATGTGAAAGTCGTTTCATTGCTGTTTGGTCTTACAATTTAGTAATGTCTCCCTATCAGTGAGTCAGCTCTTGCCTTGGTTATTCAGAGTTTGGCTGAGGCCATACCGGGTACCGATTGCATAAAGAGGTGGAGGGGAATGAGGGACAAATGTGTATGTGTTAAAAAATCTCAGAAATATATTAAAACAATGTAACCACAATAGTAAATACATTATCGTGGACTGGATACGGCACTGTAATGGTAGCAGGATACTTCATAATAGCGCTACTCCCTCTGTTGTCCTGGCAGGGAATTTTTTTTTGCAACAATCCCTAGCTGACGGAGAAGTCTGAAAGCAAAACGTCACGACACTGTCAATGCGTGTGCGTCTCTCCCTCGTGGAGCTGAAGTATAAATTAGAGATACACTCAGTGTTTTTACATGCAGAACATCAGCAAACCAAACTTTTTACTTAAAAAGACTGACATTGTCTTTTTAAAATGATAAATAATAAATGACCACATCTTGTATAGCTCCATTCAGAGTCAGAAAGTTCAAAAGCACTTCATACTACAGTGTATCATTCATCCTTTCACACACACTAGTCTGGTAGTGATGAGCTACATTGTAGCCACAGCTGGCCTAGGGCGCACTGATAGAGGCGAGGCTTCTGAGCTCAGGCACCACCGG